CCCTTGAGAAGGCTAAGGCCCCTTAGGTTGATAAGATTTTTATTTATTTATTTAAAACACAGCATCTGCTCCCTCTGGGAAAAAGCCGAAGATGCTCTCGAAGCTGCTTCAACTTCTGGTAGGTGCAAAGGCTGCCACACAAGGCAGGTTTCTGGGTTTGGTTGGTTAGTTCAAGGCTTTTTGTTTATTTGTTTTTTTTAAATTCAGCTCTGCACTGGGCTCTTAAAGTGTAACACCTAAGTGTTTGCAATCCCAGGGCAAACAGGTTCTCTGGCTGCAACTCAAAGAGGAAATAGAAACTGGTTTAGCCTGAAACTAATTTGTTCCCTGAATTAGTTTTGCGGTTATTCTTTCCCCATCTGGTTTGGTACCTAGCGATAACACTTCCACGGGCACAAGCAGTGATCACTTTTGCACAGGAATTCTTATTCATGCAAAGTTCAAAATGCTGAAAGTGTAGCCTGATTCTCAGCAGGCAAATCAATCCCAGTGGTGTTAAAGACCTCACGCTCAGCATTAACCCAGTAAAGGCTGGACGAGTACAATGAACAGAGTGCAGATTTCCACACCAACGCTTCCTACTTTGCCGCAACCCCCAAATATGAGATCAGGCTGTTAAGGTCCTCTAGTAACTAAATCATATCCAGATTCCAGAATGTACTTCAGATGCTCAGAATGGAAATGATGGTTAATATAGAGCTATTTGAATTGCTCTTTGCATTAATTATTCTTTTTTCGCTTTAGCTCTACTGTATTTTCCCAGTAAAAGTTATACTTCAAGGCAACAAAGGAAAAGCTAAATAATAAGGGGTTACATATCGGAAATACTTATTTTTTTTTTTTAAATGCATACTTTATTTTCGTCTATTTTCAACATTTCTACATACTAACAGGAAGTATTTCCAAATATTTGATAGTGAAAAGAAAACTACTGCTCAGCTTTAGGTCAACTAAACAATTAAGACCATGCTCGGTGGATATAGCTCAGCTGTACCAGGATTTGAGGGAGACAGACTTCTCATCAGAGATTTCCAAGACAGCAGAGAGCTTGCGTGCTCTTTTAACCCAATCGTCTTTGAGGAGGAACTACAGAAAGCTAAAGGACCTCTCCTTTTGCACTGCAACCTCCATTCTGGGTGTATGTTCAGCTCATATATTCACTTCACTTAGTTTGATTTGCTTTGACTCCTCCAGAATCTCAAGAAAAAGAACTTCTAAGAAAACAGGACAATGTGAATTTCTCCACGGTTGTTGTATCTCCCTTAGGGACATTAATGTCTAATGGGAACTATTTTTCTGATGTTTGTAACTCGATTTAATGGCCTAGAACACATCTTCTTCAAACTAAGGGAAAACAAAAGAAAAAGTTGTAGGTGGCTGCTGCAGCAAAACTGCTACAAATATTTTTCTGCAGGCAGCCACAGGAACACAGCTCAGCTGATATATCACATACCTTGAAGCACTGTCTGTCTGTTTTGATGTTAACGAAACTTTTATTGTTTTTTAACATACAAGCTCTTTTGGAAAAAGATGTTTTCTATCCCCCTTGCTTGCTTTTGCATCTTTTCGTCTCCACATCTATTGTGTTATTCAGCACAACCTCAGAGGAGATACTCCAAGCAAGCCCGCGTTTGAGAATATTACAGGCAATCATTTCGCAACTCTACTTATTTTTTGCAGTGGAATTTCTTTTCTCTGTCAAGCATTTGAATGAGTGTCCCAAATGCTTAGTTTGTATATAACTACTATTCTCCCTAACATTATCTGAATTAAGGAAAAATCCCGTATGGCACCTGTCTGAATCCAAGTAAGTCATCCCATAAACCATCCATCAGGAATTCATCCATTGGAAGCTTTCTTTCCTAATAAGTCCATATATTTTTTCAAGACACTTCTCTAGAAGCTTGGGGGGGACTCTTCATATGAGACCATGTAGCATTAAGTAATTCTAACTTCAAACGCACGAAAGACTGGTGAAACAACTGGAGATCAAAGGAATAAGAAAAAAAGCCTAAGCCATTTTTTTCTATCCACACATGCTTCGAACCCAACATCTCGGGTTCAACAAATTTCTGTCACATTCACATTTGCGTAACGGAAAAAAGAAGCAGAGTTGAGTTGCGAATTGGTAAACACGTTTCTCTGGCATTTAAACAGTTGAGAATGGCCTCGTTTCTTGCTAAGCAGTAAAAGCAAGCTGTATCATTTTGCCTTTTGTATTTGAGGTATCATCCAAAAAAAGCCAGCCGCCAATAAAAATAAGAAAAAAAAAGAACAGCTCCGTTCAAAGTAACTCTTACCAAGTACATTTGGACATCAAAGTTAGAGGAAAAAAAACTAACAGATTGCAGTAACGCTCCACACCCTAAGATCCCACACCAAGATCAACGAGGTCGAGCCACATCTGAAGTCCATTCTCGAATGCAATCTTAGCTGACGAGCTAGTTCTTACCTATCTACAAATCTGCCCTTAAGGACATACTTTTCCAGTTTTTTAATAAGACTCCTAAATGATCTTTTGTCTATCATGAATTCATTGTGCTGCTGAACTGCAATTCTACCCTGCTGGAGGCTCACTGCTTTCAAGACGCAATTCTCAGCAGTCGTTTTGCTCCTATATCCATAATCATCACAGCGTTGCTATTGCGCCGAGAGCCTTCCCAAAGTATTCGGGAGCAGCCAGCCCAAGCTGCAAGAACTCATCAACAGGGGCAGCGTTTAGTAGCTGGAGTTCTGCAATGGGATGGTCAGGCTGGAGCATGTCTCAGGGCTATGACAGTCGCTTCGAGGGGAAATTCTGTGCTGAGCTGGGACTTAGAAATTCCAGTGAGCCTCTCATCCTCTTGCATAACACGTTACTGAAAAGTTAAATTATAAATAAAAACCAAATTATATGGAACAGTCTCGCTGTGTTTGTACCTTGGAAGGAGCTGGAACGACTAGGCAAGCTGCAGCAAGTGACAGGCAGGTCTTTCCCAACAACCGATGCTAGCTCTAGGCTCTGAGGAGCAATTACTCACTAACAGCTCAATTCTGCAGTGCATAGTGCTGGACAGGAGTTCAGTTGCAGAGAAGAAAAAAATTTAACAGATAAATGGATTATCCAGCCAAGTTTACCATTATTTGCACCAATGCGGCCATTTGAGACATCCACATGTGAATTATTATTAGAAATTATATCAGCAGAGGCTGGAATCAACTGCAAAAAATTAGTACAAGACCCAAAAAGGGTAAAAAAACAGCAGAGAAGAATCCCGTCTGTGTAACATTCATATTCCTGTGTCTATATAATCTCAGACTAGCATAAAAATTACACGTATGCATCACCCTCCTGCCGTGCTAGGAATTGCACCAAAACCTCAACCTACAATTTGATGACTCAACAGGAAGACTGAAGGCAAACAGAGGAAGTAGGGAGGATGAAATACTAAGTTTAACCTGTTCTACTTAACAAACAGAATTTGGGACCTTAATACTATCCAAATGTGTCAGTTTGGATATGCTGCTTCTGCAACAAGCTCTAATAAAGACACAGGACAGGTAGAGCGATGCCTTCAGAGGTATCAGCAAACCTTCCTACACAAACAGGATGTCCCCGAAGATCTTGCAAAGACCCCTGAGAAAAAGCAAACAAGTAGTTAAAAAACCCGACAGATTGGAAGAGGACATGGCTCTAGCCTCTGACAGAAATAGCTAGGGATAAACGGTAAATCTTTGTTTCCACTGCCGCTCCAAGAAAACGCATCTCAGCCCAACTAGCTGTCAGCCAAGCCCTGCCCTCGCTTCACCTTAGTCTCCTTCTCTTCAACCTGGCCCTAGGTTTTAAGATCTCCTTACATAGAAGGACAAGTCAAATTCTTGCCAAAACAAATAAATTCATCTTCATTAATCATTATTTGGTGCCGCAGTGCAGGACAAACAATAAAATTAATGAGAGGGGTTTTTTTTGTTGTTTTTTTTTTTTTACACGAAGTTCCTACAGTGACCCGAGAAATGCTTTCTGTGCCAGGGCATTTGTTCCTGTTCTTTCTTTTTTTTTTTACATAAGGGAAATTAAAAAAAAAAATACATTATGAATATAAGAAGATTGTATCAAGATAGCAGTAAGGCAATTAATTCTTCAGCTTAATGACACGCACAAGTAAAAATCAGTGATCACAGACATAGAAATATCATTCTGGTTATCTTTAAAGGGTAAATACCTACAGTCTTCAGTAAAGAACAATATAAATAATGTATTTCCATATCTCTACTGCCTTTTCAAGAAAAACCTAGTATTTCAAGGCAAAGTTTCCCACCTTTTTCAGTAGGTGTATGTCAAATCAGTTATTGAAAATGACCAATGTTGTATTACATTGATCAAAACAGAAAAGGTACACAAAATTATCTTTTAAGAAATGCTTAAACTAATAAAACTTAACTCCCTTTTAAAATAGTGAAATGATCCATCAGCAGAGACATCTATGGCTCTTAATTTTAGGAAGGGCAGCCAAGTAACATGGCACATCACCAACGGAACACGTAATTCCTGGGTGATCAGCAGCATTACGTGACTACTTCTGTCGCTGCCTATCACCAAGGCAGGGGAACAATCAGTTATTGAACTGTTTGCTTTCTAAAGACACGGTCCTGAATAGCTCAGAAGAGAAATGGAAATCTCTGTGGAAATCTCTGTGGAAATCTCACAAGCTCATTTTTCATTTAGCACAGCAGTATATTCTTGTGGTTATGCAATGAGAAGCTACAAATACGTTGTTAAATGTTTTTTAAAACCTGGCAAAACACAATGGATTCAATCCTGTCAAATTAACCATTTTACTTTGGTAGTGTAAAGATCTTCCTACTGCACGCAAAGAGTTTGTCTACAGAAGATACCCAATGAAAAGAAAGCCAGAACACGATTTTACATTGCTTTGACCAAGGAAACAGTAAAATAGTTCTGAGTATTAGCAGAAGTTACAATTTATCAATCAATCACGGGGGCCATTGAGGACTCTTACCAGAACTCGATCTCCAATTTTGAGCTCCCTTTCTCCTTTCTTTAGTGATCCGGCTTCAGATAGATTTGATATAGATTCACTCGCAGTTTTTGAAAGATTGCTAATCTGAGAAGGAGTCGAATGCTCCTTAGCAGCAAGCGGGGAAGTTTTCTGTGGAATTCCTGAAGGCGGAAGCGCAGCAGCGGCCGCAGACACCACACTAGCAGCAGACGTGGAAGTTGGTGACGTAGCTCGAGAAGCATGAGCTGTCTGTGTACCATTGGCTTCATCTTCTGTCAGCACTTTTCTTGTCAATTTTGACGGTCTTGTAAATATTCCCCTCAAGGGTTCACATTGGAAATAGCGAACTCCAGCCACAGAGCCATCGTTCTTACCAATCGGTTCATCTAGAACGATCCCTGCCCACTGCCCTGGAGCAAACTGTGTTTCACCGAGGAACTGAATAAAGCCAGGTTTGTTTCCGTTGACCCAAACGCGCTCCCCAACTCGAAAATCATCCACAAACTCTTCATGTGCATCTGCTGTGGTCGTGCTTGAGGTCTTTTCACTGGAAGCTGCTTTTTCTGCTGGAGCTGGAATCAAGCAAAATGAGAAAGCAACAGGAATCAAATACATGAATATTCTAGACAGTAGAATTACTCAGTTTCAGTGTAATAAGCATTTGGAAAAACATGATTTCTGGAAGGAAGAGCACAATTTGAAATTTTCTTGGTTTGAAAACACTGTAACCTCAGGAATATAATAACTCCAAATCTAAGGACAGAGGCATTGAATGCATTTAATGTAGGTTTTGGTAAAAATCTTGTTAAGTTTACAAGTGTTACCTCAAAAGCTACCCAGTCCTTTTTATCATGACAAGGTTTCTTCAAGGAAAACTGCTTCATCAAATCCAATTAATAACTTCATTTTTTAGATCAGAAATACAAGTAAAAAGACTTTGGCGTAAATAGTAAAAATAGCCTGCAAGGTACTTTTTGCTACAAGGTGAATAACAAAAAAGCTAAGACATTTAAATACTCCTTACCAGCTGCAACAGGTGTGGGTGTTTTCAGCAACGTACTCCCATGTTTGATGGTCTTTGAAGGAGCCTTAAGTCCACTTGGTTTCAACATACTCATCTTTTTGCAAGACCAGTGTTAATCCTCTCCGTGCGTAGCAACTATCTTTTTCCAAACATGGATAAATTATATTACTCTAGTTTCTCCCACTCTGGAATAAACCTGTATATAAAAACATTAGACATGGAACAAGAGTCAGTGTTTGAACTCCTGCAGCAGATATTTCTACACATACACCTCGTCTTTGTATGAAATGCATGACAGAGGATGCTTTACAGTAACATCCAGAGGCATTTCCAAACCCTCATCTTCTGTAGGCCATTTTCTATTAAAAGACACCAAGGCTGAACCTAAAGCATCAGAACAGCTCACTTCACTGAATGCTGCTGTATTCAGCTTGAGCTTTAAACTGAAAGGCTATTTTAAGTAAGAAAAACAATACCCTTAACAGCATTTCTAACATTACAAATAGATAAAACCATTCTGCACACCCTACTGTTCTCGGTCACATTTGTCAAGTATTGCAACATCTCAGCAAAAACAACCTGAGACCAGAGAACTCCCTGCAAGGGAAGCCAAGAGAACCAGGGATTTCAGGATAAGAAGAATAAGGTTTATAAGTGACTGGAAAACTACAAATGACCAAGAGAGTTGGAGGATGAGAGTTAAAAAGTAAACATCCACCTCAGCTGCTTGCGATCTTTTAGATCACAAGATACGCTGGCTCGCAGTCCCCAACACAGTGCCCCAGCTCTGCTCCTCTGGAAAGAGGAGGAGGGACTCTTCCCGACCGACGTTGCTAGGATAGAGCGCTGCTCGGACTTGGAAGCCAGCTCTAAGCTTTTCATGGAACTATGTCATGAGGGTTCTGCCACAGACGGCACCTTCCTTCTGATTACAAAAGCTTTACAAAGGCTCTTTCGGCTGTAACGAAAAATCTATGTTTTTTTTTTCTTATACTGTAATTTCAAAGCCAAAGTGCAACTTCTGCACCACCTTCAAAAGCATAAACTGCTCTGCACAAATACAGCTTGGTTGTTTGCCCAGCTTTATCTATAAAGGCACTGCCAAACCAGCTATGCCCACTTAAAAAAAAAACCACAACACAGCACGCATCTAAACAAACAAACCAAAAAAAAAAAGGAAATGTAGACATGTAGCAACAGACTGTTTGCTCAACTGTTTGCTCCCAACATGACAAACAAGAACTGTAAAAGCAGGTCTCGGTCCTGCTGGTCACTCAGCATTTGGGCAGGGATGAGTACACAGGCACAGGCAGAAAGTTGCCCCCCATCACAGACTTTCCAAACCCATAATTAGAAGAGCTCAGGTGTGCGTACTGGGCGTGAGGTGTGTTTAAAGGCAAAAAGGAGGGACTGCTCTGCTGCAGGAAGGAAGACTAAAGAAAAAAAGCCAGCAGTGTCTTCCACCTACCAGTATAAGCTTTACCCTTCATGTATTATTAACAGGCAGCACATTAGTGTTCCTAAAAATCAATTCACTGTGGGGGAAAGAAAAAAAAAGTAAGGAAAGCATCAGGCACGCTGCTCTGTGACCCTAAATATCAAAGAGAAACATTTCTTATGCTATTTGCCAAACTCATGGCATTTTCTAAGAAGGCTGCAAAAATGTTATACTTTAAAGAAGCATTAATTACCAGCTTGGATGTATGACGTTTGTCTACAATTTAAGTTATGCGCCACGAAAACTTTGAAGTAGCGCTGCGAAGATTTCTGATCGTTTTTTCCCTAGCATTGCCAGAAGTATGTCACCCACCCAGCCACAGTTATGACTACTGATTTCCCCATTGTTTTTGCAAGATGTGTGCCAGTTTACTATTAATTTTCAAGTGGGAGCTTTCATGTTTGTGAACATGAAAGCTGAGTTGACTCTCTAAAATCAAAGCAGAAGGACAGACATGAAATATCAGCAAGTCATGAAAGAACTGGGAGGCACACAGCTCTACAGGCCGAGAGGATCGCATAAGACGTCACTTTGGATCCAAGAGGAACACAGGGGAGGTTTTTCTCTCCTACTGCATACCTGCCCTCCCTGCTAAATCTGAATTTCCTCATATTTTTTAAGTAATCTTCTAAAAACACATCAAGGACATGAAACGCCTTCCTTTGCTCTCTTATACACACGCTACCGACCTATTCTTCCTCACGCTGCAGGTCCTGCTCCCTTCCCACCGACGCCAGGATCTCCACGCGCGCCTCCATCACGTCCCTCAAGCCATCGACACCATGGAATGGAAAAACTGCACGTGATATAGAAGGATTTGGTACAACTACACAACTCTGAGTACCGAGGTCAGTTCTTTTTAGCTTCTCTGTCAGTGCCAAACACCACATTTATGGAAATTCAAGCACCTCGTTTGAGCCAATGCAAGTGCTCCTTAAAAAGGCTGCCCTCCTAAAACCAGGAATCTAGAAGCTGTCTGACTGTATCCTGCCATTATTTTCCATATACACTTTTTCTTTTTTACCTCCAATGAGCATTGCAGCACCACACAGGTAATACACATCTATATTGTGCATGGATAGGCGAATTAAAAGAAAACAAAGGCTAAATTACCCCCACCCCAAGTTACATATTGCCAGTTTCAAATAATTATTTATTAACAGATGTTTAACAAACCTCTGCTCAACAGCAAGTCAGAATGTTCTAATATTACATTTCCTGGCTCAGGGTACTCATTCATATTTTAATCTTGCTCTCCACAGTCATGGCTTTCATATTTGCTGTGTCATTTGCTTTTCTCAATCTACAGGCCTTCAAATAGGCCAGAAGTAACACAATCCCTCATGCTCTGGTTTTAGAGTTACAGAAATTGTAGCTTAATTTAAAAACCTGCTAAGATACAGGCAACATATTTTGGTAAATTACTGCCCTGTTGCAGCAGCGAAAAATGCAACTTTTGGTCTTAGAAAGGACCTCCATAGCAGCATTTCCTAACAGAATTTATAAAACACTGAAAGCAGCTAAATTTGCATCGAGTGCTATTAAGCATTATGCACTCCAGCATTCCCTAACAGGCTCCAGATGTCAATTACCTCATTTTGGTTCTCATAAGAGAGAGCAGCTAGCTGCTTGTCTCAATTTGCTCCCCTTCCTTCCTTCAGCTCTCCTGAAAAAGAATCTTTCCAACCAACAGGCAATACCATTAACTCTGCTGGAAAGATCCTATCAGGAATCTAAGGAAACGCGCAGAAAGGCTCCAATAATACACACTACTAAAGTGTTCAGAAGGCCACAAGTTCTAGCAACACTCTCACTGCATGCAAAAAAAAAAATTTTTAAACACAAGCTCTACACTTGTGCCATTACTGGGAAACACGTGACACCAGACAATATGAAAACACATCACATTTTCAAGTGAATTGCAACGTGTGTTGACCACTACAAATCTTCAAATGTAGACAGGAATCCCTGCATTGGCCCTTTTAGCTGAATAACAACATCCTTATTCTATTTACCTTTTACAGACCTCTAACTAGTGCATGGACCAAAGCAAACCCAGAAGCAAGAAGTTGAGAACCACTGGTGTAAGAAAATAAACCCTATTAATCTGATAAGAATGTGAGTTCCTTTGGCAAATTGAGATTATAAATAAATAAATAATTAAAAAAATCAGCCTGAACTTGGCAAATTCAGAAAACAGATAAATAAAGAGAATTCAACTACATAACCCTGAACAAGAAGAGTAGAATATTTTCCAACTGTCAAAAAAGGAATTCCTATAATAAAAAGAAAGCAGCTGTTTCTTTCAAGACTGTATTTTGAATAACCAGTCCTCCAAAAAGAAGTAAAAGACAATTAAGTAAAAAAACAGGGAAAAAAGTTAAAGCCTCAGCTCACTCTGAGGTCACAACAACATAAAAGCACCCACAGTTCTTTAAGCTTAGCTGACACCTGCCAAGCGTGCTGCCACCACCACGCTCACCTTCCTCAGGACAAATAGTGCCACAACTCAAACATTTGATCTTACACAACATTTGCAACAAGGCTTTGACGATTTAAGGAAGAAACATCTGCTAACACCACTACTCGTTGCTACCATGAAATAGCCTCAGTGCTTCCACAGAGAAAAGCAACTTGTCTGTCCATTCGGCACGGAAACAAAGGGGATTTTCTAGAACAGAGCAGCGTGAGGTTTGAATTCACCCAAACCAGACGGCATTATCTCTGTCACCCGTGCACAGGCTGACTCTGTGCTTTGAGGCTGGAACACTACTCCGGTGGTTTATTTATACAACAAAGTGAAAAAATTATTTTAATCAACAATCATTCGCTGTTGGGCATACATGAGTTCTTTAAAACATTTAAAATCAAACAGGTTAATATTAAACTTTGTAAACACCATTAAGAGACTAAATACTGCTGGAAAATGCCTTTCGATGCCAACGCATGTTTAAGCTCAAAAAAGAGACCACCTGACTTTGTTAATTCTGCGAAGCATACTGCTGCTTTGCAAAATACACATAAACACCAACAGACACAGAGTCAATATTCTAAATGGGTTGTGTAGCATAGATAATCGTGGAAAATCTCACAGGGATCTATAACCAGAGATGATATGCAACTACTCAGCTCGTAAGTACCTAGAAAACAAATTCTGACCACACCATGAAGAATACGTGACATGTACAAAATAAATCAGAAAATCCCTTCTGCAGAAAAGTGATGTGGAAAATACAAAGACCACCACAATCCAGTAACTCCACTTTCCTGAGAAAGACAAGCTCACCGCAGGAAGCATCGTGTTTGCAATAGCAGCCTGAACAGCATTTCTTAAATATCTGTTTCGTACTCTTGATGTTCATACCACCGTCGTCAAGCTTGCAGAAGCTCATGAATCATTCCTCAAATATCCTGACAATGGTTTAAGAAAGTAACTTGGCATTTTGAACCTGGAAAGTTTTTCTCCTCTAGTCCATGAGTTACTCAAGAGCTTAGACCCTTCATAGTTAAAAATGCTTATGACTCCTAAAATTACCTCAAGCTTTAAAAGTTTAAAGTATATAAGCATCTTCTGTGTGACTCAGAACTGATTCTTG